GCCATCAGGACAACTCATTTGCTCTTCACTGGTTGGCCATTTGTCCTCAAAATTGAATAACAAACTATATATAATAATTGGTTATGCTAGTTTTGTAGTTCAGTCTAATGGTAAAAGCCCTTTAATACTATATTAGTATATGCTAGATTAATAGTTAATTACATATTCACAATATCTCTTAGAATTACTATCAACAAGTATTGCATTGTTAGTAGCTTTACATTAATTAAAAAAAACTGAGGAAAAAGAATATAAAATCAAATTATAAGTAAACATACGAGTATTTTATTGCTCAGTGCATGCAGAAAACATTAATAAAGAACAAAAAGTTGATGCTCTCTTGAAGCGATACATGTATAGGGTAACATGACTGTATACTCCCTCTCTGATGTAAATTTATGCACAAGTTCAGAAAATTGCAGGTATCAATAAGCATGTCTAAAAAATAAAGAAAGCCCTCCTGTTCTTAAAATAATACCAAAATGAATCCCGCCATTTTGTTTACTTACACAAAAAAATGTTTCTGGCATCTGCATCATGTTTGTTACCGACAAACAGACACAGAAAAGAGTAGAACTACCGGTATGTCACAGTTTATAACAGAAAAAAGTTAGGCACTGCCACTTTCCATCTGATCCCTCTCCTAAGTCTCCTCTTCTCTCTCCCGAGTCTCCTCCTCCCCCTTCTTTTCTTTTCTGTCCGTTTCTTCCTCCCCCATCCCTGTCCTTGGCATACTTTAGCCTTTCTTTGATTGTGTTCTCAATGTCTTTTTAGAATCTCCAGTAGCACTAAAATTGTAGTATTTGGTGCTTAATACATTTGTTACTTTTCTCAGTAAAGAGTAAACATACGATTAAATTTACAAGTATATCACTATATGTTTAAGTTGTCAATTGAGGAATAACCGTCTTTTTGTTTCATGGTGTGATTAAACGATTAGCTTGCGTAATGAAGGTATTTATGCATAAAATTTGTACGCTTGATCATCATCATCACACCAATTTTGATTCAATGTTGCCCCATATAAATCATTATTCAAAGAAAAATATATGTATAGAAAAATTTGTCGGTACACTGTACAAATTTTAAATGAAAGAACCCAATTTATGTTTTAGTATTGAATAAATTTTGTTTTAACTTCAACATGTTCAACATGTTTGATCATGTGCTCGACGCTTAGTGTATATAAGTAAAATGAGTGGTAGACTTCATAAATTTATTCTACTAGACACAAATTTCAATCTAAATCAGAGGTAAATTATTTATTGCTCAACTGTATCAAAACACATTTGTTATTTTATACTTTCATTTATTTTTCTTGTATAGAAACAATAAATTTAATCATTGATATTTTATTTTGTTTTGATAAATTATAAGAATTTTAACAAGCCATGAAAATTTATTTTAACTACCTTGTATTTTCAGGTAGGATTGGTGGTAGATTTATTTCTAATTGTAGAGACTATTGGATTTGTTAATATACAGATTTGTGACAATTAAATGTTTATACACATTGGCCCAATGTTGATCCAATATATCGGGCCAACATTGGGCCAATCAGCAAACTTACATTGGGCCAACGTCATTTGCCAACATCGGCCCAATGTTCTTGTTGACGTTGGGCCAATATTGGCCCAATGTCGCATTCATTTGGACAATGTTGTCGCAACGTTGGGCGAATAAATGACACTCTACATTGGACCAACGTTGGCCTAATATATCGGGCCAACATTAGGCCGATGAGCAAACATACACTGGGCCAATGTCATTTGCCAACATTGGCCCATTGTAACCGATGACATTGACCCAACGTTGGCCCAATGTTAGCATGCTATCTGGGACAGTGTTGACCCAATAGCACCTGGCCTCTGCACTTCCCCGTGTCTGATTTACACAGATTTGTACACGATATTGTTTAAACTATGAACGTTAATTAAGCTGTGTCAAAGCAAACATATTATAAATACTTACAAAGTGGATGCAGATATGCAAGGTATCAGTCTCATTACGCTTGTGTCAGATTAAAAATGGCGCGGATATTACAAGTAGCCCGGATGTTCTCTACCCATGATGCTCAACCAGATTCATGGTATATTGGGCCAACTTGGGGCCCGATGCCAATCCCCCAACAAAAATTTTCTATCACGTTAATAGTTTTATGATATAACGCCAACAGTTAGCCCAACCTTGACCCCATTATACATAACCAACTTTCATCATTCCATGTTGGACCATGGTTGGCCCAGTAAAGGTAACCCAACAGCGATAATACAACCGTAATGTAAGATTGGACCAACGATGTTCTGCTATCTGGGATTCACATTCTGTTCCTGTGAACTTTTAACTAATATGTATTCAGTATTCTCTAAATTCTCATGAATATGTAACGCTCATGAAAAAAATCACAATTTTAAGCGTTTTATTACACATAAATAAGCATGTACACATTTCAAAAAATAGAATAAAACACTCTTTGGTGCAGTGATCACTTAAGTTCAAAGTTAAAATGTTGAATATATCATATCTAAACAAAAGCAGTAATCCAATGAAAAGCATGGACATAGAATGTCCTCTTAATTATTTCAGAATGTGCATCTAAATTAATATTCGGAACCAACGTTGTCCCAAACGTAAAGCTCAGCAGCTAATTATAAAATTGACACCATCATTTAGTTGGCAGTATACTAATTGGACCAACGTTGGCCCAATATAAATATCCCATCTTTGAAACACCTAAACAAAATAACACTCTTGCTAACATCGGGCCAACATACTACTACCAACTTGATAAGACACTTTCTGTAAGGGTGTATTGCAAACATTGGGCCAACGTTGGTCCAACATACTACTAAAAACTTGATAAGACACTTTCCGTAAGGGTGTAATACAAACATTGGGCCAACGTTGGCCCAACATACACTACCAATTTGAAAAGACACTTTCTTTAAGGGTGTATTACAAACATCGGGCCAACGTTAGGTCAACATACTACTACCAACTTGATAAGACACTTTCTGTAAGGGTGTATCACAAACATTGGGCCAACGTTTGTCCAACATACTACTACCAACTTGATAAGACACTTTCTGTAAGGGTGTAATACAAACATTGGGCCAACGTTGGCCCAACATACTACTACCAATTTGAAAAGACACTTTCTTTAAGGGTGTATTACAAACATCGGGCCAACGTTGGGCCAACATACTACTACCAGTTTGAAAAGATACTTTCTTTAAGGGTGTATTTTAAACATTGGATCAACGTTGGGCCAACATTAGTATTCTTCCTTCCTTGGAAAGTAAAGTGAATGGAAGTTGCTTACGTTGGACCAACGTTGGGCCAACATAGGAATTCTGTCATGGTCGAGAAGGTTGACATGGTAACATTGGTCCAACGTTGGCCCAACGTTGTTCCTCCAACACCAACCATACAACCTTTTACTAGTGTTGGCCCAACATAGTCATGCTATCTGGGTATAGATCTTAAATAGATTTTTAAAGATTTTTCATAAAATATATTCCTGTAAAAATTTGATCCCACCCTCCCCCGGGTGGCTTGATTTGATCAAACTTGAATGTACACTACCCTAGGATGATTCAACATGAGTTTCATCTTTCCTGTCCCGATGGTTCTTGAGAAGAAGATTTTGAAGGTTTTTCCTATATATTCCTATGTAAAACTTTGATCAGCAATTGTGACCCCACCCTACCCCCAGGTGGCATGATTTGATCAAACTTGAATGTACACTACCGTACGATGATTTAACATAAGTTTCATATTTCCTGTCCCTTTGGATACTGGGAAGAAGATTTTTAAGGATTTTCCCTATACATTCCTATGTAAAACTTTGATGAGACGTTGTGGCCCCACCCCAACCCCGGGGTTCATGATTTTAACAAACTTGAATGTACACTACCTGAGAATGATTCTACGTGAGTTTCATCTTTCCCGTCCCTATGGATCTTGAGAAGAAGATTTTGAAAGATTTTTCCTATATATTCCTACGTAAAACTTTGATCTGCCATTGTGGTCCCACCTTTGTCCTTGGGGTCATAATTTGAACAAACTTAAATCTACACTACTTGAGGATGATTCCACATGAGTTTCATCTTTCCTGGCCCAGTGGTTCTTGAGAAGAAGATTTTCTAAAAAATGCCATCAATTTTTCACTAATTCATAATTATCTCCCCTTAGAAGAGGGCGTGTCCCTTCATTTGAACAAACTTGAATCCCTTTTACGCAAGGATACTTTGTAGCAAGTTTGTTTGAAACTGGTCTAGCGGTTCTTGAGAAGAAGATGAATATGTGAAAAGTTTACGACAAGGCCAACGACGACGACAGACAACGGACAAATTTTGATCAGAAAAGCTCACTTGAGCCTTCGGCTCAGGTGAGATAATAATATGTAGAAGATGTAACATGTTACAAGAAAACATAAAGTAGCGTTTACAATACAAGATAATATATGTAGAAGATTTAACATATGTTACAAGATAAGAAATTATAAAACCATTAGCAGTATTTACAATACAAAATAATATGTAGAAGATATAACATGTGACAAGACATTATTCAGTTGTCATTCATGATCTCAATTAGTGTCGTAAATTATAGATTAATTGAAAGTATAGCATTAAATAGCTGCATTATACATACTTGCTTCAACTGATGATAAAAATTACAACAAACTTTTTAATGAAATATAAATATCATTATCCCCTTGCAACAGAGTTGAAGAGGATATAATAACACAATCATGTGAGCGTGTGTTTGTTTGTGGGCGTGTTATGTCCTGTGTGAAAGGGAATATGTAAATTTGCATTGGGAATGAAAAATTTAGAAGGTTCCCTTCGACTGATTTATACTTACTTAAAGGATTTCAAACAAAAAACTTAAATCTCTTGTTGTTGTGTAAAATTGCTTTAATTCCTGTAAACATGTAAGTCTCACTATACTCTTTAATTACAGGATCAAGTCAATAACTGACCAAAACCCCAGTGATGGACCCCCGTTATAGTGCTCAAGACATCCTCCTCTGTGACCTGTGTCAAAAAGCTGCATTACAGAGTCATTGTGAACTTTGTCAGATTAACCTGTGTAAGGCCTGTGTAGGAGAGCATCTCTCTGATTCATCCAAAAGACACAATGTGGTACCATACAAACAAAGGACTTCTATTCCTAACTTCCCAAAATGTACAAACCACACCCAAAAACATTGTGAACTTTACTGTGAGCAATGTGACATTCCTGTCTGTTCTACCTGCATCTACTCTGGGAAACATAAAGGACACGATTTTTCATATGCTCTACAGAAACTCAGTTCTAAACCAAAAATTTTAGAAAACGACTTGGAAGAACTAGAGGAAAATATCTACCCTACATACGAAGAAATTACATCAGATCTTAACTCTGAAAAAGTCAACTTGGAAAAACATTACGAGAAACTGACAACAGCTGTCACCAAACAAGGAGAAGACTTGCACAGAGAAATTGACATCATTATCAACAAACAGAAATCTGAAATTGATGAGATGAAAAAAGAACACTTGGCTGCTCTAAATAAACAGCAAAAAGAATTCAAACAGATTACTTTAGATATAAAACAAAGCATAGCTGATCTGAAGAGAATACTGGACTCCAATGATGTCTCCCTTACATCTGCTTACAAATCAAAGAATGTCGAATTCAGGATTCTACCTCCTAAATTCAACGTCATATTACCAAGTTTCTCTCCAAATCAAATTAAAAAAGAAACGCTAAATCAAATGTTTGGTTCCCTGTCAGCATTTTCCATTACAAAAGAAGAACATGGCTACACAATGAAGACATCTAAAGCTGTATCCTCTCCTCCAGTGAAACCACTGCTTGATAAACCAGAGCTCACCACCACCATAGACACTCGGTATAATCTATACAGTGTTTCCTGTCTCAGTGATGAAGAAATCTGGACTTGCGGGAATGATAAAATCTTGAAACTCTTCAACCTTGAAGGTAAACTACTGAAGTCAATCCAAACCAAGTCACGGAACATAGCACTTGACATAGCAGTGACAATGAGTGGAGATCTAGTTTATTCTGACTATGATACAAAAACTGTTAACATAGTGAAAAATAAACAGATACAGGAAGTGATCAGACTACAGAGATGGATACCTTGGTATGTCTGTAGTACCTCCTCTGGTGACCTACTGGTAACCATGGACAGTTATGATTATAAACAATCAAAAGTTATCCGTTACTCTGGCTCCACAGAGAAACAAACTATTCAATTTAATAGTGAAGGTAAACCTCTGTATTCATCTTGTTGCTACGTCAGTGAGAACAGGAACCTGAATATCTGTGTGGCTGACAACGGAGCCAGAGCAGTAGTGGTGGTTAATCAGGCAGGAAAACTCCTATTTAGATATACTGGTCATCCCTCCACTACCAAAGGATTTTTTGATCCACACGGCATCACAACAGATAGTCAGAGTCACATTCTGACAACTGATACATCCCAACACTGTATCCACATCCTAGATCAGGACGGACAGTTCCTCCGTTACATTGATAACTGTGATCTGCAGCATCCATGGGGTTTATGTGTTGACACCGTAGATAACCTCTTTGTGGCCGAGTGTTCCAGTTATAAAGTGAAGAAAATAAAATACATGTAAACAATGTGTTAATATAAACTGTTTGTAACTTATATAATCTCCCTGTGGCTGAGTGAATTAGAATTGTAAAGAAATTTAACGACTTGTAAACTGCACGGATATATGAAAAAGGGTTAATCTTGTTGCACTTGAGCAAAAACTGAAATTCGTTAATTAATGTCTCAATGAACAGGTGACGGAAATCAAACTGCAGAATGTGTGATGAAAATATGAAAAAAAAAACAAGATGTGTTTGTGAAACACTGATGCCCCGTATGGCAACATACATGTAGCGAAAGTCAAGCTTTTTCAAATGTGGATCAAATATGTTTGTACCTAAAGTAAGGCCTTTTCACAAGAAATACAAATGTGAAATATAAACCCTAGCACCACCTGTTCAAAGGTTATGAGCATGATTAACGCTTTTAAATGTGGGACAAAATCTAGGGTCAAGGTCTAAAGATCAAAGTTGTTGGTTTCTGAAGAAAGGCCTTGTCTCAAAGATTGCATATGAGAAGCATGAAAGAGTCTTCTTACAAGGATTACATATATGAAGTATGAAAGCCCTAGCTCTAACTGTTCAAAAGTAATGGCCAATGTTAAAGTTTGTAAAAAGAAGGTCATTCTCCAAGGTCAAAGTTGTTGATATCCAATGAAAAGTCTTCTCACAAGGATTACATACGTGAAGTATGAAAACCCTAGCCTTTATGGCAAAGTTTAAAGTTTTTTTTCGTAATTACTGAAATCTCCAAGGTCAAGGTCAAAGGGTCAAAATTGTTAGTTTCAAATGAAAGGTCTTACCAAAAACATTGATATTTGAAATATGAAATTCCTAGTATCTACCGCTTAAAAATGGGCACACAGTAAAAGTTTGGATCTTTTGTGTTCAAATGGGTCAAATTCCAAGGTCAACGGGTCAAAGTTTATGATATCAAATTAAAGGTCTTGTCATAGGGATTAGATGTATGAAGTGTGAAAGCCCTAGTCCAAACCCTTCAAAAATTATACCCAATGTTGTATTTTAAAAGTGAATTAAACTCCGAGGTCAAAGGGTCAAAGTTCATGGTATCCAATGAAGCGTCTCCTGATAAGGATTAAATATGTGAAGTATATGAAAGCCCTAGCTTTTATTTTTTAAATGTTATGCCAAATGTTATAGTTTTTATGAGTACTGAAATCTCCAAGGTCAAGGTCAAAAATTTCAACGTTGTTTGCACTCAATGAAAGGTCTTTCCACATAGAATACATTTATGAAGTATAAAAATCCTGGTATCTACTGTTCAAAAGATATGGCTAAAGTAGAAGTTGGAAATTTTTGTGAGAAAGTGGGTAGAACTTCAAGATGAAGGTTAAAAGATCAAATTCGATGGAACCCAAAGAAAGGTCTTGTCAAAAGTAATATACTTGTGAAATAAGGATGTCATAGCTCTACTAAATCAAACTTCGTTTACGGGTGCATAAAAATTTATATGATATATAGAAAACAATTTGGTTGAAAGCATATTTAAAATGACTCATTATTTTCATAAAAATACATGAATAGTGATATATAGAGTGTTATTTGTTGTAACAAGAGGCCCATGGTCCACATCCTTTCCCTGAGCGGATTGGCTAGGAAAAAGAAGCAAAAATCAGTTTAGTATTGAAAAGTTAACAGGGGTGGAGGATTGAATTTTAAACTACCTTAGTTTTGGGGTATAGATTTTTTTGTCGTGTCCGTCTGTCTGTCTGTCCAGAACTTTTGATTTAGTGGAGCTATGACTTTCATATTTCACATGTGCATTCCTTGTGACAAGACCTTTATTTGGGTTTGACCGAATTTGATCTTTTAACCTTGACCTTTTTACCCACTTTTACACAAAAATTCCAAACTTTTATTTTGGCCATATCCTTTGAACAATAACACCAGAACTTTTTTTTACTTCATATATGTTTTTTTTTGTTGCAACACCTTTCATTGAGTACCAAAATTTTTGACCTTTTGGCCTTGACCTTGGAGATTTCCGTACTAAGTAAAGTTTTAACCTTGGTCATAAATTTTACGGGATACGGTAGAGCTTTCATGCTTCGCATATGTAATCCTTGTGAGCAGATACGTCATTGGATACCAAGAATTTGACCTTGAAGTTTGGCCTACTTTTCAAATACAAGCTTGAATATAATTTTGAAGGGGTGGAACTAAGGCTTTCTTACTTTAGATATTTAATCCTTGTGACAAGACCTTTAATTTGATATTAAGAACCTTGATCCTTTGACCTTGGAGTTTGACCGATTTTTACACAAAAAAATCCAAAATTTTACTCTGGTCCTAATTTTTAAAACGTAGAAACTAGGAATTTCATATTTCAAATATCAATTCTTTTTGACAAGACCTTCCAATTGAAACCAACAATTTTGACCTTGGACATTTCCATACTTACAAAAAACTTTAACTTTGACAATAATTTTTTTAACAGTAAGGGCTACGGCTTTATACATATTTTTTTTGGAGAGCTACCGTTCTGCAGCTAGGTATTTATAAGATAGAGTGTGGCATTGGTCACTCTCAATCAATCCGGATATAAGGTTTTCGTTGATAATCTTCTTCCCGTCCTCCCGTATAGCCTTTGTACAGAGGTCTAACGGTCTAAAATTCCAATATTTGTGGACAAATACCCTGATTAACTACATGTTTTATCATACGTAGTTTGGATCTATGTTGGCGATATCTCGAGCATTACACATAATTTAACAAAAGTGTGGTGCTCCGTCAGGGGACGTCATTTCCACAGTCGTTTTCACAGGAATCGCATCGGAGAAAATTCGCTATATTTCTGTTAGTACTTCTAATATCACGTCAGAAATTTATATACATAGTAATAGAACAATATAAAGATACATTTGAGAAAATTGCATGTCAAAAAAATATCGCGAATTACATGTGTATGAACAAGATGTGTTTGTGAAACACAATAAGCCCGGCGGCAACAAAAATCTAAAAAGCTATTTTTAGCATACTAGCATTGATCACAGTCAAGGTCACCAGGTCATTGACCTTGGTGTCATTGGAAAGAACTTGATTAGTGGAGTATGCACACAAAATACTTTTATGGTTCAAAAGTTATGGTGAAAGTTACGAAAAAGCTACTGTATTTTTAGCATATAGGTCACAGTCAAGGTCACCAGGTCATTGACCTTGGTGTCATTTGAAAGAACTTTATTAGTGTACTGTAGTATGCATACTAAACATGAAGTCTCTATCTTTCATGGTTTAATTGTTATGGCGAAGGTTAAAGTTTGCAGACAGAAAAGTTATTTTTAGCATATAGGTCACATTCAAGGTCACAAGGTCATTAATATTGGTGTCAACTGAAAGCACCTCATTAGTGAAGTATGCATACTAAATATGAAGTTTCTACCTTTCATGGTTCAAAAGTTATGGCGAAGGTTAAAGTTTGGAGACAAACAAACAAACAAACAGACAGACAGACAGATAGAACAAAAACAATACCGTATAACGAGTAATTTTTACTGCTGTAAATTTTTACGAATTTTGGTCAAAAAGGGTGATTTAAATTTTAACGCGTTAATTTTTTACGAATTGAAAAGGTCCGTAAAAATTAAAACCATCAGATGTAAAATTTCAGATCACTAATTGTTAGCACTTTGAATGCGTTTGCGTACAAATAATGTGTCCGAAAACCCGCGATGTAAGAGAGAGAGAGAGGGGGGAGATTATTAAATTATAACAATATAAACAATGCCACAAATTACATAATGTATTAACAAAAATTATCATTTTACCTTTATATACACACAACCATGTACCCTTCATTTATTCATGTTTTATAAAACACGTACAATGAAGCGCATTGAAGTGGTAAAATTTCCCGTTGGAATGGAACGTTTTGAGCTATCTTTAGAACGTTGATTGTCATACAATGTCGCCCATTTCTTTAGAAAGGAAAATCGGTCGCATGGTTCATTGGAATACCTGTAGAACAGGTATTCTAAAAATATAATATCCAATCAAATTGACGGTCTACATAAACACAGAGTACGCACGTGTTCGAGCAGTACATGTGTTATGGAAACGCCAATAAACAGATAAATTCATAATTATGTACAAATTCGTTGCAATACTTGTTTTATAGAAGGTGGAACTCTCTAAAATCTCTCTTATAACTTTAAAAATCTCGATTTCAGTGAAACTGATGTTGCTTTTTGTAAAGAGTGGGGTGTCCTAAAACATTACCACGAATATTTCTTGTACGTTTCTAAAGAAATGGGCGTGTCATTCTGTAATAATTGACGTTCAAAACATGACTCAGAACGTTTCATCCAAACGGAAAATTTTACCACTTCAATGCGCTTCATTGTAGCTAGGCACACCACGTACTCGTCTGGATTTACCAAAAATGATGAGACAACTCAAACTATCATAATTGAAGTGAAAGTATACATGCACATGTAGAGAAGAAGAAGTTTAAAAAGAAATATTTAAAAACAGTTTAAAGAGAAAACAGAGTATTTGGAAGACATGTAATTATTAAATCATATAGAATTCATGCGTCTCGTAAAAATAGATAAAGAGAAAATGTGATTGAACCCAGATTTAATTAAAAAATGTATAAAAAATTAAAAGATTTACCTCTATGATCCCAATTGCCAGTGGTTTTCAAAGTATTCAAAATACCAGTACACTAATTATATATAGGGAGTGATTAATGACAATTAGCATTACTTACAAATATAAAATTTACACGAGCCGTTTTATAAATAATGTGAAATTTTACGCGTTTAAATTTTACGGATTTATAAAACTCGTAAAAATTAGTAAAAATTAGCAGCACGTAAAAAATACCCGTTATCCGGTATACGCCTCGGATCTATCGATCCGGGCGCATAAAAATTAATGAGTCAAATTCCGCACGCTTTTGTTTCAAAGTTTTTGCCGCGCTCCGTACCCCCCATCAGCGATATCAACATCAGCGATATCAACATAGCGATAATTTTAAGAATTTTTTTTTCATAAAGAAAAT